TTAGAACTTTAGTTCACAAGTACAATGTGTAGGATTGCGTACAGAGCAGAGAGCATTTTTAAGCCAGTGTTGCAGATAAATTGAGTTCGGACAGTTTGGACATAAGAGTTTTAAACCATTTGAACACAAGGATTTACTAATCTGTTTCCAGGTCTATAAGTCATACGTTTCTGAATTTTTAAGTGGGCCGCTTAGCCGGCTCAGGCAAAATGCAGCACGGTATAAAGCCCTTCAAACGTGAGGTCTTTCGGCGTGTTTGGGCTGATCAAGCTTGGTCTACCAGCAGAATTAAAATTCTCTACAGGATGCATGCAAAAATTCCCACCAACTTCGAACAACTTTGCATCCAATTGAGTCGTCAAGGCTCAAAAATGTGAAAAAAATCATATTCTCTTTAAAAAAAATCCTACAGATTATAAGCTTGCTTACAATATTGCACGACATCACGTATCATAAGTACCGTTTCTGTTTTTTCCTCGTCTAGAAATCAAAAAAATTGAATTTTATGCTTATACAAAAACGACGCTACGCTGTTCTTACTCATGTAATTGTATACTAGATGTTCTTAGAAGTATAGCCTAGTCGGCTTTCCACAGGCGCTAGTTTTCGATAAATGTTGATTTTAGCACAAAACCCCCTAGTGAGGGGATCTAAACTCAATTTTCGAAAATTAAGGCCTACGGAAAGCTGAAAATCTAAGGATAATAATGCTTTTAAGGGCATGTAGTATACAATTATATCTGTGGAAACAGCGTAGCTAATTTTATGTAATCATAATGTTTTCTCCATTTCCAGATGAGGTAAAAACACAGGAACTTATATATGAGTGTCTAATGTGGTGTGCAATTTGTGTGAGCCAGTTGGAGATCTGCAAAAAACGAAGATAAACTTTTCCCAATTCTTTGAGCCTTCATTGGGACCCAGATTCTGGATACAACTTGCGGTGGGTCGAGGCCGGTGCGAACTTTTGCATGCCATCTTGTAGAGCTTGCTTTGCTCTATCAATACTACTTGGACGCTATTGGAAATGTGAAATATACGACTTCGCTGTAAAAATAGTGTAACGAGACTCAAGTTGCATCCTAGTAGTTGACTTATATGTCTGACTAATGGTAGAGATACATTAACAGTGACCCTAGCAAGAATTATAAGTTAAAACAGTTTGAAACTTAGAACCGAACTTACAAAGCCATAATTTGTTGAGTGTTTTCTATACAATCACAAATACCGGTTCAAAGACAGGGACCCCTCATACTTCGCCCAAAAAAGCGCGAAAAAGCGCGACAACGCGCGCAAACCCCAAAAGCGCCAGTACGCGCGCAAGTGATAAAAACGTATTTTGCTTCATTTTCTGTCGTTTGCACTTGAAAATAATGTCGGAAATTCATCAAATCTAAGCCGGATGAATAAAAAATGCACAGCCATGCTAGTGAGCCCTTGCCATCAGTTTGTAGAAATAAAGTGAGTCTGAACTAGACAAAGAGCTAAACAGAACGAATCAGAT